AAAACTACTTAATTACTGTAACGTGAGTATTTGTAATTCGTTACTTCACACCCCTGGTAATTCGTTACTTCACACCCCTGAGTATAACACAACGTTGCTGGGCGCCGCGGACAGACGCCGAACGGCGCCGCCGGTGTGCCTACACTCATAGAAAATAATGTATTTGAATTTTAAAGACGTGGCGCGACGCTGCGCTTCTCGTCCGGTGTGCGACCGCCTGAAACGCTGTTTTTTTTCACCTCCATGCTTAAACGTCTTTGTTTGGGCTTCCGAAAGCGGATGATTTCAGGAACAAGTGGTTGCAATTTATTTTTTAATTCTGTTCCTGAGCATTATAACCCCAATTTGCTATTGTGTGCTGCGCATTTTACTGAGGACAGCTTCCACAACATGAGGGAGTACAGTGCCTGCCGGATTCGCCCAAAAGCTTTTGTTGAAAGACGGAGCAAGGGGCGTGGCAGTACTGAAACACCGTCTAAGCTGTTCGCCAATCACAACTCACTGGGACAGCTAACCAATCACAACACATTTCGTTTTTTTCGAAAGGCGGGCCTTCATTAAAACCCAGAACTAATCGAGCCGTTTGTGCCAGCCTGGGGAGAAAGATACTTTAATAATGTAAATTAAGTGAAAAATAATGCGTTTTTCGAACCACCAAGCATGAGGGCATGTTCTAGTACACCCCCAAAACAAAATCAATACTTTGTAAAAGAGCATAATAGGACCCCTTTAAAATTATTAGTCATTTTCATTAAAGCATGAGAAAAGTCAAACAAGGCCATAATGCATGAACAAAAATCACAGTACGGACTTTAACACTCAATTAATGAACTTTATAAACTCTTTTTGAGCAAATTAAAATTAAAAGGTAATTTTCTGTGGTTCTAAACAGTGTCTAAATCGAGAAAACGGTCACATCAGATTGTGTATTAGTTCCGTTAAAATGTTTAAGAAACTGACAAAACCGTTACCTTCTCTCTGGTGTTTCTGTAGTGCAGTCAGGTGTTTCCTTGTTTTCGCTCTCTGAGTTCTGTAAAAAAGGGAAAAACTTTTACATCAGCAGTACTAAATCAAGGCCCTCCGCTCACTGGCTTGTGAGAAAGACGGGTGAGAAATGATGACGTCAAGATCAAATGTGAATATACGGAACAACAACGCAAGACGTCTTCCACAGCATTTTATAAGTTGTGATTAGAATGGGTCGGAAAGCACTAGAACTCTTATCTCGCAGGCACTCGAGAGTGAGATGCATCCTCTGGTTACATTATCAGTTAACTGTGTGTACACAAGAATGTGTGGTTTCAGTTCAACTTAGCATAGACAGTTTTGCAATTTTAGACCTTCTGTCTAAGCAGAAAAAAATTAAAAGTTCTTTACCGGCAGTTTTAGTTGATGGTTAAAGCTTATGATCCAGCCTCTTTACCAGATCCCATCCAAAGACATCCAGTTTGGTATCCAAAACCAGTTAACATTGCATTTTGTCGTAACCTGTCTTCTATGAGCCACAAGGCAGACATAGGAAGTTGTGTAAGAGCAGAATGCAGGAAATGAAGTGATGGTTGAAAAAACTGCAGGGTTTATTGAATAGTCGGTTTCAGTACTCAGGCTTACTTTCAACAATTGTTCAGCACTAATTCAACAAATGTTATTATACCCAAACAGAAGCAACAGAGAAATCACTGCTTTACAATAAACGATTATACTGTGTGATTGATTCAGTGATAAATTATTAAATGATTATAAATGAATTACAAAAGCAGATAAAACAAGACAAATGTGTGGTCGTTCTCTTGAAGCTTGAACTCTCACATTAAAAATTCTTAGATCCTTCAAGTTAAAAATATTTTTTAAAAAAAATTCCGAGCTTCTGTTTGTAAATCTCACTTTTCTTCATGACATTGTTTTGAATAAACCACAATATAAACTTATGATGCTGGGCATGAAATGAAAATCGCATGATTTGGGAACCCTTAAAATATTCCAAAAACATAGAAAAAGCACATTAAACATCATTATTTTAAATATGGGTGTATTGTTAAAATGTACAGTACATATCATTAGAAAATAAACCCAGAAAATACCGTTTGACAGACCAGTAAAAACAGAAAAAAATGTACAGCACCACTCACAGTACAGAGCACAAAGAAAATGTTTAAAGACCTCATGGTGAAAATCATTTTTTAACCCGTGTTTTTAATACGCTTAAAGACAAACCATGTGCAAATTCATCAGTCAACACCGTTGATGACCATTTTCTCATTAAAACTGCGTTGTAACTAAGACTTTGTCACAAACATGTGACCAATCCCGTCAACTTTGCGGGGTGTGACTTTTAATATCCGCTCAAAGGTTTCTATTTACACGTTTTTGCAGCATTGAGTAACATAGCCAATCACAGACATGGCCAATCAGTGGTGTTTAAGCTAGTCAGAATCCACTCAACGCTCAAAACGATGGAGTTTTGCTCAGAGTTCTGCACGCTCGCGAATTCTCTCATTTAACAAAGTATAGACGCGATGTAAATAAGAGATTCATTGTGCTGTGTAAAGCTTCATTGACTATAACAGAACCTAGTGAGATCGCGATGAACTTAGACAGGTGACAGCTTTTCAGTTATTTTAAAGGGAGCGCACTTTGCGTGCTTTATATGCTATAATTGAGTGAAAATGGAGCAGGTCCGAGCTGGTGCGATTGAGTGGAGGCGGGGACTAATAAGCATATTCATGCTTTGGCGCATACTCAATGAGGTAAGGGTGTAGAGTTACATTCAAGTCATTTGTAAGACAAAGAAATTATTTACATGGGAAAAAAAACTTTTAAATATGTAATTTTGATTATCAAAGATTAGTTTTTTTTTTTTCTGTAAAGCTGCTTTGCAACGATTTGTATTGTGAAAAGCGCTATATAAATAAACTTGAACTGAAAATTTAATTTAATTTTAAGGGATGAAATTAGTAGGAATAAAAAATGAAGGGAAAGCCTCGATGGCAGTGTCCAATGATTTTGTCTTCGTAAAAATTATTAAGGGTTGTTGAAAGTGTACAATCAATCATTGTTTGGTTTCCAGTGTTGAACAGTGTTCAAGCTCCCCACAGACAATGTGAAGATCTTCATTTACGGGCGGTGTCATAATTGGCTGCAAACCAATCACACGTCTCCTTGACGGCTGGAAAAAAAGAAAAACTTCAATAAAGACTTGTTTTTGGTTGCCACTTTGTACTACTATTGAAAAAACACTGCTTAAATGCTGCATCTCTTATGCTGATCACCTTGTTTGAACGGCGTGAACTTGAAGTCTGGCAGGTATTTGCG